GGCTGGCACCAGAAGCAGTAAGTCGGACTGAGAATTATGGCCTACTTCCGGGGCCGAGGTTAATATATTAAATGATATACTAGTCTTTTATTCAATTATTCCGCCTTTAAGTTACTGATGAAGCGTACAACATAGTACAAAAGATTAGCACTAATGATTCTTCCAATTTTACTAAATTGTGAAAACATGCCACAAACAAGGATTGATTCCAAGAGTCCAATTATATAAGGGCACACGCATGTATGATATTATATATCGCATTCTGTGTAGTGATAATTAAGAGTTCTGGCGCGAGAGTCAGCGGGAGTTTAACTGGATAAGGATACTCGGACGATGCTGCATCGACATTACCGACTTCTAGTTGTAGGCTATCTACTAAGCGCTTCTACTTAACTACTATATCTACTTCTCAAGAGAAGTTTTAGAAGCCCCTCACTAGATTTATATATAGGTTTAAACAAGCGTAGTCTACGCCTCTATTTTAGTAGTTAGGCTCGCGTTAGGAGCGTTTCTTACGATTAGATTCTCTGACAGAGTGTGTGGTGTAGTTCTAGAAGCGGAAACAGATGCACCCGACAACATAGGAACATTGCTAGGCTAGGTAGATTTTCAAGAACCCAGTTTCTGCGAATGCTAAGTTTACCAACCCGTTCTAGTAGGCTACGAGGCATAATTAATGTTCGGGCCTTTGCGGATCCTATCTTGTGACCACTAAAATATTAAGTGTACCTCTTTCAACCTATTTTAGTTAAGTTAGCCTCATCCGGCCAATAGCGGTTTTCATTCGAGATTACCTAGAATTCTCCTATCGCCCGGGCTAATTGTAGGTCTTGCAGCGTATCTGCGCCTATGCACAGCTCAGACACTCGGGATATCCAGTGCACTATACCACTTTGGGTTCAGAGAATCTATATATACACATGCAATTCGCTATGATTTTCTCGTATCTTTTTATTATGACATCGTAAGCAAGCTCTCAATTAAGGGGCACACATGCTTGTAGTGTGGGGGGAGGCGGGGCGGTGAAGTGTTAAAGAAGCTCGAGCGATGACTGGGTTCTAGGTTCATAGTTCGGCCGACGGCTTTCATCATATCATCTGCGGGTCAGTTAAGCACTTTCAGAATTCTCCTACTGGAGATTGATAAAGCTAAATCAGGCTTTGTTGGACGAATTTATCTCCTCTGATTGTATATAGGTAAAAATGATACGTTTGTGTGTGTACGGATCTTCGTCTAGCGTAGCGTCCAATCTCTTAGAAGTGCAGTAGGTTCTGTAAAACTAGAATTGCCTTCGCCTTTTACACGCTATGCTTTTCGTAAGTTGATCTGCAGCTTTAACTTTCCGCCGCTGTCTAAAAATATCCCCGCGCCGTTATTCCGTTTCTGTGTAGAACTCTACGCGGTAATAAACTTTGCTGGTTATAGCGTAGTAAGGGTATTATAAATAACACACTACTAGGTTACGTCTCTATTACAATAATATCTACGTATATATATGACCGATACGTCCACCGTATGCACAATATCATTTTCAAACATTGGAAATTTGTCTTACGAAAGGTCTCCTCTATCTACTCCGTGTTCAAACGTACTATGCAGCTCTACGTTCTCGCCACACTGGCTTTCATGACCGCTCCCGCTCAATCGGAGCTGGTCAGTCAAAGCAAGACTCAAAATCATTCGATCTTCACTCGAGCCAACATAGTGCCAAAAAAGGCAGGACTTTCGGGTTACCCAGGCATTCAAACCGAAGCTGGTTTTGCGTCCCTCGCTCCTTACATCGGTTGGTACTCTGATTACAATCCCGATACCCCCGATTACACTGGGGTGCAAGGCGTTCCGATGTTGTGGGGCGGCGAGGGCAGCTCTTGTAGTGAGACCTCAGCCCGCCTGAAGTCATTCGAAAACGCTATCGCAAAGAGCGCTCCAAAGCTCATGTTCGGCTTCTACGAGCCCGACTGTAGCTGCCCGTTCAGCAGCTCAATGACCGTGACTGCAGCTGTAAGCAGCTGGAATAGCCACCTGGCTCCCCTGGCAACCAACGGCACCATTCTCGGCTCTCCAAGCCTGTGTAAGCAGAAAGACGAAGACTTTCTAATCCCTTTCAAAGCTCGGATTACTCACGATTGGGACGTCACAAGCATCCACATTAATAAACTCGACCTGGCCGGGTTAAAAGCTGATATTGAGCACTATCGAACTTATGGAAAGCCTATATTCGTTAGCGAGTTCGCGTGTGTGGATGATCGAAGCGGCTTTACACCTTGCACGAACCAAGGACAAATTAACGATTTTATCAGCCAAGCAGTTACATACTTTGAAAGCCAGCCCGACATTATAGCATACGGGCCTTCCAATGGAGCAGGATTAGGATCCATCTGGCCTCTTTTGAACTCTGCTGGAGAGCTGTCGCCAACAGGACACGCATATCTCAAGTCTATTAACTATCTTTAGAGTCTATAATAAGCCTCTATAGTTTTGAGTTAGCTTATAAGAAAAGAGTTGGACATGAAAGCCCTTGAACATAGTCAAGGAAAGTAGGAAAGTATAATAGAGAGAGTGGTAGAGGGAATAAGAAGTCACCTGCTGTAATATAATTATATTCCTAGTGTCTTTTATACATTAGAATCTAAAGTTATAACGTGAATACATAGCGAGTACACTATCTGGCCGAGTGGGCCATGCTAAAAGGTTATCACGCCCTCTGCAGGCAACTGTTCTTTCCCTTTGTTGCTGCGAACATCGAGTCTCTTAGAGCAAAAAAATGATTGCTAGGTTCTTGAAATATCACAGAGAAAGCCCAGTTCGCTGTTTCTCCACTGATGTAGATGCCTGTCCAATAAGGGATAGAAAAAGCAGTAAGTCGGCGTAGGAGCTTATTTACTAAAACATGACGCGGCTATAAGGTGTGCGCTAGGGAGTATTGTAAGTTGACGAGTCAAGTATTGGGGCATTGTTTAATATGTCCCTATTCTTCCGGCATTCGTACGGGCCGAAACCACGGTTTAAGGGCACATGATCGTCCCAGACGTTCCACGCCGTCCAGCATTCGTCGCCGCTACTCTCGCCGTGAATACTGAGATTGAAAGAGAATCGTGCTGTGACTAGCGCCACTATGATGGCCAGAACCGCCAGCAAGGCTTCTATATACACAACGTTAGAACCTTACTCCTAAGTTTTATCTTGGCTGGCCGCTCACTGCTTAGTATATTTATAGATTAGGCCCGATCACGACTTAAGAAGGCGTGTTAATAAGACGGTTAATTTACCCATTAATTCGCGTATTATGCTGCTCGTAGCTGATATATTCTTAAGGTCTTAGCGCCTTAACGCCTCTTGATTATGAGTTGAGCCCGACGCTGCGAGCCTATCGTTTACGAGCGAGCGGGAAGGTAGAGTAGGCTAGCCTCTTTGAGTATAGACTTATCGCGCACGCCCCATCTTAACTGCACAACGAGGCAACCGTACCGGCGATCTACCACTACCGAAAAGGGAATCCTGACTTCCTAAGGCTGCTTAGTCCGTCCTTCGCATTTTCCTATGAAGATCCTGCTATAATCGCAGCGTGGTTTAAGCTAGTAGAGACGCGTCAGACGTACGGCGTTCTAGACCAGGATATCTACAACTTTGACGAGACTGGATTCGCTATGGGCGTCGCTGCAACGTCAAAAGTTGTAACTAGCGCTGATAGAGTTGGTCGAGCAGTCGTCATCCATTCTATATTCCGACGCTACATCGTCTTGCTGCCGGCTTGACCACATAGCGCGCCTCTTGTAAGAGCTAGTCTAATGACTTATGGGGTTTTTGTATACAGTATCCCTCAGTAGGTCTTATCATAGACTATAGCAATCTCGCGAAAGATGGTAGCAATGTGGTTAGTACACTTTTGCGGGCCGCAAATGACGCCTAGCTTGAATAGGGATAATGATTGTTGACTGTCTGTAAGCTATCTGGTTTCAATACATCGTGTGCCCACCTTGAGCAGCAATGACAGCCTCGCATTAGCTCCCTATACCTATTATTACAAAGTTTTTGATCTATCCGAAGTTTTACCGAGCAAAGCTCCCTATTCGCCCCACTGCCCCTACTTCCGCTATCAACCAAGTACCTGCCCACAGCCCACCGCATGTCGCGACACAATCACCATCGTCGTAGCATACTTGTCCTATTTCAGCAGACATGGTAGAAATGCCACCCCGACACCAGATCATCCATGGCACTAGTACTGGTAGTTCGTTACCAGTCACTGAGCGCACGCGCGTCCGACACCATCCGCAGAAACGTAATCGCTGCGAACGAAGCCCGGAACAATTTCTGAGCTGTATACAAAGCCAAAGCGCGAGCCGAAAGTGTTGTCTAGCGGGAAACGTAGGCGAGACTCTCTGCACGTCGTGTGCTCGATATATCCTCTTACATCAGACGTTTCGCGAGGGTTCTGCTAGATCAGGCTTGGGTAACGTCTTGAAGGACCCGAATGGCATTCTGGCCATAATCGCATGCCCAAGTCTCAAGACCATCGATTCTGTCCTATATTGGTACACTATGACCGATTTGAGCACCGCGAACTTTTCACCACTTGTCCGGAAGATGCAGTTCTTTTGGGGTCAGGTCCTTTGGGATCTTGCTCGAACCGATACCAGCATCTTCGCGGGTATGGTAGCCTTCACGCTGAGGAAAAAACATGCCCTCACTCACGAAGAGCCTGGCAGTGCGGGGAATCTCCAATACGCGAGGCTCGCGGAGCTTACCAGTATCAACATCTTCAGGCAACGTGCGGTGGAGCAGATGAGGTCCGGCCGGACTTTGGTCTGCATGGGAGGTTTTGCATTGATGGCGCTATTGAACAATGACCACGAGCAGGCCTTGATACATCTGCGTGCTATGGCCTCGACTTTCTCCATGCTGCATCCTAACGAATTGGAGTGGCTTGTGACATCATGGGTCGATCTCCGCGTCGCTTCCTTAGGGTTGAACCGACCACTCGTCCCATACTACATTCCTCAATATTGGCTAGATCAAGATTTCCAGGAGCCGAGCGACCTCAAAGTGGGCTTTGATCGCTGCGCTACCCTCAATGTACGCCAACTTGGCACGTTGACAGGACTCTCACTCTTTTCTCTTTTCAAGACGTTCAGGAATCTACACAAGTCTACATATCTAGTTGAAACCCCGATTCTTGCGGAAACGCCACCCTATGCCGTTTTGTTCGACTTAATTTACGAAATTTGTTCGATGGACAGCAGCTCTACGGACACTGGGCCTCGAGTCCATCGTGGACTCATCTTGGTCGCACTCAAATTGATGGCATGGCGGAATGCGGCGAGATACGTCACCCAAGGTGGTGAGATACAAGCTGCGCTTTTGAATCGAGCGGATTCTGTCATATCCCAGACCAACGGCCTTGTTGCAGCATGGAAGCACGAAGCTGACATTAAGAGCCTCTTGTGGACATTGACTGTCACTTTCGCAGAATCAGTATTTTTCAACCCAGATAAGTTGCCTGACTGGACGCATTTCCTAAGAGAGGTCTGCCTCAATATGAAGATTACAACCGTTCGGGGTCTGCAGAGGGCACTCAAGGATTTTCCTTGTCTGAATTGGTGGTTCGACATTGTACTTACCAGACACTGGACAGAAATCTGCCCTCCAAAAGCCGCGAGCCGATGGCAGTCTCTTGGGCCTCTGTCTGAGCCTAATCAAAGGTCTCTGCCTAGATTACGATCGTTTCCGACCGTCTTTCCATTCCAAGCTTTCAACTAAAGTGGATCTTAATGGTAGACCTGCAGACCGACGAGCTTTATAGGCGACATTAAGGAAGTTTTGTATGCGGTTTCTACAGTACTATGTTAAAAGTCTAAACTAAGAAGAGGTGTTCCTTTAGTATTCCAGGTACTTAGCAACACTAGTCCGGTAATGCGAGGTTCAAGATCTAACCCTAAATATAGAATATAATGCTAGTAGCGGTTAACGAACTATTTATAAAATAAAGGTCTTAAGTGTTTTCTCTTTAACGTAGTTTATAAGCTAGTGAGTTATATAAGCGAGTGAGCCGCCCTACTAAACCTAACGTGACTCTCTATACATCTACCACATGTTACAAGTAACAAGAAGGATTCTCTCCTTAACAAGTGACGAGA